TACTGCCAACTGAATGCGGTGAATGTACTGTCATACGGGCAAGAGAAAATCCAAAGGCACAGAGCAGTGAACGTTGCCCTGTTTGGCACAAGAGGGATAGCAATCCTTTACAGAGGAACCCAGATGCAGCCTGTCTCTCACAGACCAAACCACACACCTCTGTGCAACTGTCTTCTGTAAGCCTGCAGCTTCCTCCCATAAACTCTATCCTTAATTTTTTAAAAAAACCAAACTGACTGGAAACCCCTCAGCAGTTTGTCCTTTCAACTAGTTCTGCATTGGTGGAAAAAATGAAAACTGACAAATCGATTTAGGCTGGAAAAGGAGAGTTCCAAAGGACTGCAATACTGAGTGCCAGTATCTCCTGACATCCTAAGTAAGGCAGACAGGATTTTATCAACATCAGCTATTTTGGGGAGAATATTTTAGTAGCTCGGAGGGGTGTGACTCAATTCTTGACACTGAGCTGTGATTTTTATATGTAATGCTTATCCTGCAGCAGCAACCAAGTCAGAACGTTATTTTTCCAACATAACTTCATGCAAGAAGGACCATCTCTGAAGTGTAATGGCTGATCTCTCCCCTGCTGTGGGTTTTACTCACGATGAATGAGATGAAGAATCTGGTTTCTGTACGCTGTAATAGAGAACACTTCATTTACCATCACTCTGAACTAGTAACCTAAAACTGAGCGTCCCTGAACTACTCTTTTTTAGTAATTTCTTTATGCACACCTGAAAGTTGGACAGTACCGAAAGCTCTGTCCTATCTGTATTAAAAAAAAAAATCATAATATGCTCTGTGACTTGCCATAACAGCAGCAATTCACTTTTGGGAACTTCCTTGTACTTCCAAATCTCAGAAGTGACATGAAGGGCAGAGAACAAAACAGTCTGCCTGTGTGATCTAGGCAAAACCCAAATCTAGAATCCAGCTATCTTCTGGAAATGCGGCAAGGCTGTATTCCAGCACACCTTTCTACACTGATTCTCTGCTTTGGAAAATCTCTGGGTTTTTTTTTTTTTCCCCAAACTTCTACAAACGCAATCCTGTCTTCCCCCTGCAAATGCAGGGCCCTGCCTTATTACAGATCCTTCTGGGGAACCGAGGGCCAGAAATTGAATGAAATTGCTTAAATCCACACTTATTAATTTTAGCATCAGTGAAATACTGTAGTGGACTATAAATCTTAAGATACGACTAAGTAAGCATTGTTTTGGATGCTTCTGGTGCATTTCATGTTAATCCCAGTAGCAGAACCAACAAAACTAATGAGATCCCAGCTTCAGCATTCTGATATGAGCTGTCCATTAGGGTTAGGGCAGTTCCTAGAAACAAAATGGGTAGAAAAGCACTTGGGAAAAATACCAAGAGAAGGTTGCTATCCCTCTTGTGCCAAACACGGAGTGATTCACTGCTGCATGCCTTTGGATTTTCTTCTGCCCATAGGAGATGGCATTCGCCACGCTCAGCAGACAGTACACTGAGACTGCTGTGCTGCACACAGCCTCTCATTTAAACCTCCTCAAACCTGTAAATATTTCATTCCACATTTTTACCAAGACATTTGCTTCGGTAACTGTAGGTTAGTTCTAACTTCCATCAGTTCCTAAGAATAAATAGAGATTCTCCAAGCAAGGGTTATCTCCTTAAGGAGTTTACCTGCCATTGCTAGCTGGGAAAGAAGTCAGCTGACTCCAAATTTTTGATCTTCAATAATTAATCTTAAATCTAATTTTTAACTAAATCTAATTTTAAGGCCTTTGCCTTCTGTGCCACACAGCTGCTAGCTGACCATGAGACAGTAATAGCATTTGACAAAACAGAAGGAAGGGCCAAATGTTTTCCCATACTTTTTATCAAATCCTGAGTTGCCACATGTATCTTAAGACTACTCTTGGTGAAGCTGATTTTTTATCATACCTAGTTTTGTAACAGTTTCTCATGTTATCTAATTGAATTAGGAGGTAAAGAAGGGTCTTGTTTATTCTGCTGCTTGACCTACAAACAACAATCTGTATGATCAAGTATAACATTTATTATTTCAGTAAACAGGACATATAGGATGGACTTTGTAATTTTCTTAATTTCCCTGCCTTTTCCTCAACCACCTGCAAGACTGTAGTACAACAAGTACACAAAAGCCGTTGAAAAGCAGTGCATGTAGATGCTAGGTGCAGAAGGGAGAATTTGAGAACTTCAAAATCATCCAAGGCTTTGCTGGGAGCAGCAGACCTGGCTGCATATGCAAATGTGATTTCACACAGTCATCACCGCAGAGGTCATCATCAACTGAAATATCAAGAGCTGTGCTCCTAAGGATGACAACTCATGTCCCTGAATCAAAACAGCGACTACTGGTGTGCTCACTCAGCAAACCTGGCCTGAACTTCACAAGGCATAGCTGAAAACTTGTTTTTCCATGGAAAATGCATTTACCAGTGTTGCGTATCACATAGTTCCTCCCCCGCGGCCCCCAGACTAGTTTAGTCTGGAAGTAAATGCTTCTGTGACAGAGTTTACAGCTGCAATCAGTAACTATGGTCTCATCAAATAAATCACTTTTTGCTTGTACCAGTTCTTTGCTCTTGCTTAGACGAATGGACTACCATACAGAAGGACAATGGATTGTTTCCTTCTTCTAGACTACACTTTCTATATTCAAAATTAAAAGTTCTTTTTCTTTAGTTTGTTCCTGAAGTCCACAGCTACCGACTCAGAACCTGGATAGCAGATTCCCCCTCAGCCATGCTTTGAGGTCCTGGCAGTCACATCCTTGCAACATATACACACCTCATCCTAAAATCCAGAATGTCCTCATTAGTGACTTGGACAATTCCCGAGTGTAGCCCCCACAACTCAAGAGATGAAGGCACTCACCTGGGAAGAGATGTAGGTGGCTCTCAATCCCGGCTCCTGGGGACGTTCAGCTACAGCAGATGGCACCTACAGTGCTTCACTGGGGCCTGGTTCCCTCCCTCGCCCTCCCCAAGTTGACCTTAAACTGCTGTCTCCCATCAAGGGTCGTGTCATCTACCCTTACTGATCCAAGGATAAAAGAGGAGCACCGCTGTTCCTAAGTCATTTAACTCAACCTTCATTCCAACATACACACTGAATTGGAGTCTACCTCTCCAAACTTGCAGGTCAGCCAAACTGATTTTTTTTTTTTTCCCCCAGAGATTTGACAAAAACTTATCCTGTCTTTGTGTTCAAAATAGAAGAGCTCAAATGACTTTTTAATCACAGCAATCACAATGGAGGCTCTGGATGTAATATTATTTACTTTTCCAAAAGAAGATGCATTCCAGGTTCCTCTTTGCTGTCAGAATTACAACCTTGCACTTGAGGAGGATACAAACAAAATTGACCCCACCAATATTTACTATTTCATACGTTGCTGGTTAAGCTGGAAAAATCATGTCTTCTTTCAAGTCACCGCTACAGATTTTGAACATTAGGCCAAAAAATTCTCTCTGATCAATGAGGATCAGCCTCCTTTTTTGGTTCTCCATGTAAAATTAATTTGGAGTTTTCATTATGCATTATGATATACACTGACTTGGCTTGTAATTGTATTTTAAAAGGACAGGTAAGGCAAAACATATTCACAAGAGTCTCTTTGGTTTACAGTAACGCTGTTATGAACGCAGAATCATGTAACAGTACAAAAAACGCCTCATTTAATGCAAAGTTAAATACAATACAAACTTTATTAAAAATAGGTTGCAAGTGAAATACAGTAGAAATGGGAAACTACAGCAGTTTTGATGTTTTTCATAATAATGCACAGACAAATATGAAAAGCACTTTTACACATATTCACACTTGACCCGAATGCCCAATAGCGGCCAAATCCACTCAACTGAAGGTTATAGCTATTTTTTTTTGCTAAGCCTTTTTTCAGATTCTAGCAGCAACAGTAATTCAGCCACAGCATGAGTTTTTTTTTTCTTAAGAAAAATTTGTCACTGTAAGGCTGCTAGTGTTCTCAAGATAAATTGGGAGAAGCTTGCTTTTCCTGATTAACAGACATAGCAAGCATGCAGATCCTTCATTAACACTTTGAACCAGTTTAATCTTCTACTTCATATTTAACAGATGAAACGGTAAAAGCACACTTTCAAATAAGAAACCTGAAATATGTAAAAAATATTTACACTCCAATTTTCATTAACTTGCATTTATTTATCATACAACTCTTATTAAAAGTGATTTCTTTCCTAAGGCAGTGAAAGTCTACCCCTTTGTATTTGGAAGTGTGCACAATTCCCTAAATATATATTTATAAGAGAACAATATGATACAGGGAAAAAAAAAAAATCATCTAAAGCCAGTAAAGGGCTTTGTCAAATAGAAAATTTGTTTGGAATCACAATATATATTGTCTTAACATCACACAATGAGAAAATCTCTGATAAGGTCCTTATTCCCAACATCGTCAGCCACATACATATAGCTGAAGACAGTGGGAGGAAAAAGATGAACAACTTAAAATTAAATAAGGCTATTACAGTGTGAAAAAATAGCTTGAACTGCCAAAAAGATTTTCAGTACAACAGTAAGAGGATGCCAGTAAAGCCAGCTAGACTGAAGAGCAGCTCATTAGCCCTGTTTCCTCGGCGTAAGCAGAGATGGTTCTTGCCAGCACACCAGCTCTGTGAACCACCTCACTAATGTTCCCGCTCCCAGCCAGCGGCAGGTATTTGGTGCTTCACACTTCAGCCTTTAATATACCAGTTCACTTCTCCACAGAAAACAAACTAAAGGTATTGCTGAACTGGTAACAGCATACTTACCCATGCTGTCCCCTCCCTAACAACTTCTAATCCACCTTTCTCAGGAAACATACCTATCTGTTCTGCTGGCCTGGGAACTGGAATCACCACTCCTCACCTTTAGCATGTTACTAACGTTTTGGTCAGAGCTGATGAAGGGCCACTAGTGTAGCCTATTATCTATTGCTTATGTAATTTTTAATAAAACAATTAACCAAAAGTTTTTGGAAAGTCTGAAGCAAATATAGTGGGGGTGCATCAACATACAGCCTTTTCCATAACTACAGATAAATTCTTAGACCCAATAAATATGTAGGACTAGAAATGTTTTTATTCCAAGGTTCTACATACAGAACGTGTGTTATTCCAGTACAAAGATCTGTATCGATATGCTGATCATTCTGTGAACACCATACAGTCAGACTTGCATATAAAGTCTTAAGGTGGCCCAGATATTGGCTTCTTATCAAACAACCTAAAATACTAATTTCTAGTGCACAGTTTAGTTTAGGCAGTTCAAGCTATTCTCACTCTCTCTGCTCAGCAGCTAAAACAAAGTACATCTGTAAAACACCAGGAAACAGAACTTATCTTTGACAAGTGCTACTTGGTCTGGTGCACAAGAACTTAACCCCCAAAACAGAAAGGAAAAAAACAAAAGTTACCTTCACGTGATTCATATCTTTAAAATTTTACAGTGCTTTCATTGTATAAACCACAAGCTCCTGGCAAAGTAATCAGTTTTCTTGCTATTGCAACATCTCTAAATCTTAATTAACAGTCTTAGATATAGAGGAATCAAAGTCACTCCTTTCAGAACACATTCATTTTCTGTTCATTAGTAGTGTGCCCCTCATCTCAATCCCTCAATTTTGAGATCTTCAGTTACATCTGATAAGGTGCTTTCATCTTATTTTGTGTTCAACTCATTTTCCAGTTCCATTAATTTCCTGGAAGCTTTGACTTTATTGGATACATCCTGACCCTGTGAAAAAAGTCGCTGGCGTTCCCTGAACGTCAAGTTTTCTGGTGCTCCAGGTAAATCTGTATCTTGACTGGAGAAGGGAAAAAAAGTCTTTGTTATAATTCTTATCTACGGTATATTTAAATATAATATTTCTTAGCGGTACGTACTGACTGACAGCTTTTTTGACTACAGCAAAAGATTCTCCGTTCAGTGTTCTGCAAGGTTTTCTTCCCCACACATACCTTCAATTCTGACATTGTGCTATGGCTTAGACAAATGAATGGCTCATGAGCATCTCTGGCACGTTAACAGGGATGAAACCGCTTGCCAATTTTCAAAGTGAAGTGCAGGTGTAAACTAATTAGCACAGCATTGCTGTTACGGCTAAATTGGCGAGCCTTGCTGGGGTGGCACGTGCCCAGGGAAAGCACTGGAATACAAAGCTTTTTTGTCTTGGTAAACAAAGCTAGCAGTACTGAGGTACGCTGTAGTGGCTGCAACATCTCTGTATTTCAGTCCATAGTGGCAAAGCTCCCAAGGGCAATTGTTGCCTAAGCTCTCCCAATTATCCCTTACCCTTACTACAAACAAGTCAGCCAAGTCAGGCGTATAAAAGTTAACGGTCTCCCGCATGTCACCTTTTAGATCTTTTATCTCTTGGATCCCGGTAAACTTCATGGGCCCCAACAGCTGCTCCTGTAGATCCAGTGTATGAATTTATTCCTTACGCAAAAGAAAAAAGTAAGTTGAAGGACTGCAGTTACAACACAAAAGTTTTATATTGTATTTCTTCAAAAAGGTGCAGTGCTTCTTTTAAGAAACAATCTCAAACTAGAATAATAAATAGAGGGTCATCTGACCTCTAGAATATTTAAAACCAGTACTACTAAATTCCATCCTCCCTCAAAACAGATGTAATTTGTTTATTCCTAGTTTTGAGTCAGAACACATTTTGTTTAGATTACCCAGCATGTATCAAATCCTGGTCTTTATTTTATTATGGCTCACTGTAAGACAGACATCAGAAGTTGTTCAAGGAGACTAATGGAAAGAGCAACACGCTTCGTTATCCTGTAACAGGCTCTACACGAAATAAGTTAGCTGCAGCTGCTCTCTTTAGGAGGCTAAAAGTAAGCTAAGATTAGTACATACCATCCTTGCAATTCAGCAGAGTCAGAATTTTTGTCTCTGTTTAGTCTGATTAAGTAAACTATCACTCAGAAAATGCCCCCCCCCCCCCC